TGTCAGTATAGCCAATATTGTAAATAGTGCAAGTATAGTGAATATTGTTAGTAGTATTTAGTTTCAGTAGTGTTTAGTACTGTAAACATTTAATATATGTGTGTAAGGCAAAAAATAAATAAATAAATAAATAAATAAAAAAAAATCATCAACGTTAACTTTTTAGACGATCCAGATGACTGCTTGAGTGACGACTTGGGGTCCTTTGGACACAACGGACACAAACGTTGATACTTTGTTGCGGAAGAAGATGGTTTCGTGGAAGTAGAAGTAGATGTCACCATGGAAGAAGGTGTTTACGTATTGGAGAAGGCATATTGGGTGCATTCCGAACACGAAGATTTTCGAAGACCCCTATGGAGACTTTTTGACTGGAAGGGCAAGGCTATAAAGTACGTAATGCTGGAATATTCCTTCAAAGGTGAAGAACGCGCCATTCCTCCTTTGCCACATCGCAGCTCAAAAAATGACAAGCCATTTCTTCGAACTGGGCCATTGCCAATTTGGCCAAAAAGGAAGTGAGCAATGGCACTACTTTTGTAAGGTACATAGACTGTTGTACCGGCAACGTGTTTCTCGCAGATGATAGACAACTAGACGACCTGCGACGTTTCTGTACAAATCCACAGCATTTTGGAGTACTCGGCGTGGGCACTGTTTTCAACTGTGGCAATTTTTATGCAACACTGACAACATATCCCCATCTTCTACTGGTTGATAAGACCACTTTGAAATCTCCGACAATGTTAGGCCCAGTAACTGTTCACAAATGGTTAAACACTGGTGTTACGATTACCTAGCAGCATCGCTGACCAGGGCTAAGCCAGCATTAAGGAATGTCCTGGCCATAGGAAGCGATGGTGACAGCAAGATTTTCAATGGTATGAAGCAGCAATTTCCCGCTTCTACGTGGGTGCTCTGTAAGAAGCATGTAGAGGACAACGTAAGACGCTATTTGACCAGCATTGGTATTACTGGCAATGATCAGCAATTATTCATTGGTGACATTTTTGGCGATATCCAACAGCAAAAAAGTGGCTTATCAGATAGTGTTTCAGGAATGCAATTTGACGAGCGACTAAAAGCTGCCAAAGATCGTTGATATCAAAAGGAACTCAGCATACGCAATGTTAAAGAAGCCCAGTTTTACTCCTGCTTTGTGCGATACAAGGCTGATGAGATCAAGGAGAAACTCCTTTATCCTGTTCGAAGGAATGTTGGTCTTGGCTACGACTTCTATTACAACAATGCAAATGAGTCGATCAATAACTTGGCGAAACGAAAAAAGGACTACAAACGTTGTAAAGATATCGTGGAATTCACCGAAGAAGTGAGAGAAATCAAAGACATTCAACAAAGAAATGTTGAACGTGCTGTGATAGGGGAGGGGCCTTATCGTTTGTGCAATAATTACGCAAAGGAGCTGGAGGTCGATCCTGATGTCTGGTTCCATCAGATGTCACCACTACAACGTGAGCTATTTAGCCACAGAAGTTAAGCTACCAGAATCACAACTTCAAGATGATTCAGGTGCAGGTCCTAAACCAATTAATGCCATTTTCCACCTATCAATGTCATTCAAAGAGTCCGGCTTATCAAGACTTGTGCATGCAGGATCATGGCAAAAAGCAAATGAATTGGTTGCCAAAGAAAATACAATGTCCCGGTCCCTGGGACACAAAACAACCAAGCGTTTTTTGTGGAAAGTGCAAGTGGAGGGCCATCAAAACCAAACTACGTTGTAATCAAACCAAACGGAGGTGTCGTATGCGATTGTGATAAGTTTAAAGAAACTTGTTTATGTAGCCATTCAATCGCTGTTTCAGAAAGAACTGGAACACTTGAATCACATATTCTGTGGTTGAAGAGAACTTAATTTCAACCAAATCTTTCCTCACTGGCTGTGCGGGGAGGTCCACCAGTTTGTGGGCAAAAGCCTGAGTCCAAGAGGCCAACAAACCGCAGCAGAAATCCTCCGTCCAGAAATGATGTTCTCGGTGCCAGCAACAATTCAGAAACCCCCAGTGAGAAAATTCGTAGAATGATAATCCCTTTCAGTTGATGTTCCTCACGCCAAATAAAAAAAAATGCATCAGCTGCAAAAAGACATTTAACAAAGGAGGCAATGGACCGTACAACCTGTGTCTGTCACATAAAGAAAGGTTCTATACACGACTTTCATAATGGCGGACCGCTCGGGCGGAATGGTAACTACTAACATCACAGCGAGGCTAGTTAGGCCAGAAAGGTCATCAACATGGCAACTGCTTCGACAACACGCGTCGCAGTTCTTACCGAAGAGAATATCCCTGGTGCTTCTTTGCATGGACGAAAACCATCTGAACTTAAAAATGATGAGTTGAAGTTCTGGTTACAGTGTAGAGGTGATCGGGCAAAGGGACTTAAGACGAAAGCGGAGCTTGTGAAAAGGTAAGGAGTCGGTTTGTTTACGATGCAATCGGTTTTTTTGCTTCTATTCTTTTCTCGACAAAATTTATTTTTTCAATTCCTTCGTTTGACATGTAACTCTATTTTCAGAGTTGAAGAGTATATTACCTCTGGAAGAGACAAAACCATCGTCGATCCTGAGCCGACCAGATTATATACCAAGAGAAAACAGCAGATCGCAGATTCATTGAATACAGATCCGGTCGCCAAGGTCGATGTTGTGAATTACCCAGAAAGTGGATGGGGTAGTTCGCTGGAAAAAATGCCGATGTTTACCCGAGCAGAAATGAACGAACATATTGCAAGATCGGGTAAGAACATTGGAAATATTCATCACCATTCTGTGCCAACAACACTTCGCAAAGCAAAGACGTTTATTGAAGATGAATATCTTCACGAAATCATGGCAACCTGTGATGAACACTGCTTTTATTTCAAAGCAAAATGCTGCCACAGTTACAGGAAAAACGACCCGCCGCATCAGCTAAAATTAGCCTTGTGTATTGTTAAGGGTGACGTTTTCAATTCCACTTGTACCTGTGTGGCTGGAAAAGTGGGATTTTGTAATCACACATCGGCGCTAATGCTGAAACTTTGCAAATTCAGTCTATATGAAGCTAAAAGTACAAGGGACTTACAAAAAGACGCAGACGAGAATCCGCAAGTAGCATGTACTTCCCAGCTTCAATCCTGGAACAAGAAAGGTGGAGGCGAAAATATAGTAGCTCAACCAGTCATGGAGGTTGTGGTAAAAAAGGCAAAACTGGATGAACCAAGCACCTCACGTTGTGGCGGTGGTGTGAAATGCTCATTGTATGAAGCCAGAAGACAACCACAACATGATCTGGAAAGAGAGAAGGCTTTTAAATCTGAACTTTCAGGAATTGATCCAAACTTGGGTTTTGCTCATATGAACAAAGAAAAAAACCTAGCTTTTGAACTGAGTGATACCAAATTTGGCAAAAGTCCTGTTGGGTCGTTCTTGAGTTATCAAACTTCTTTCACAGAATCGAATTTCTCTGCTCAAGCGAATCTAGGCTCAGTTCAGAGAGTAAATGATGTTGCCCTGGACCTCACTCATTATCCTCGCTTTCCTATGACAAATGAGGAGGACATGACCACACCTCGGGAGCTCTCAGATTCTGAGAAGAACTTGCTGTCTACTCTAAATGTGGATGAAGACAAAATCCATGAAATCGAAAGCAAAACAAGGGATCAATCAGCATCTGAAATGTGGAAGCAAGAACGCACCTATCGATTTACTGCCTCTAACTTCCAAGCGATTACCAAGAGGAAAAGGAATCATGATACCTATGCACAGTCCATCATGCTCCCAAAGCCATTTTCCTCGAAATATGTTGCCCATGGCATTAAGTATGAACCCATCGCTCTTCAAGAGTATCAGAAATTCATGTTCAACCAGAAAACACCAGTAGCTGTTTTAAGGAGTGGATTTGTCGTATCAAAAAGTTGTCCAGTACTAGGTGCCTCGCCTGATGCAAAAATTGTGGATAAAGGATGTGTACATTGCTTTGGTTTGGGAGAGGTAAAGTGTCCCTACAGCAAGTTCCATGAAACACCCTTGGATGCATGCTCTGATCCCAATTTTTTTATGGAGAAAATAAATGACAAAGAGTGCAGACTGAAAAGGGATCACGCATACTATGCACAAGTGCAAGGACAAATGGGGATAACTGGAAGCAAGTGGTGTGATTTCATTGTTTATACCAGCAAGGGACTGTACGTGGAGAGGATAGCCTTTGATCCTGACTACTGGAGAAACTTACAAACTGAACTTTTAACTTACTATTTTTTACACTTCATTAAGTTTGCTGCTGAGGACTATCAGAAAAATGCAGTAGATAATTAGCTATTCAATGCCCTTTGATTGTATATATTGTAGGCTTTTCAACTTTTTTGGTGGCAATTCAGTAATTAATTTACTTATGTCTTGTTACAGTATCACTACTCCAAACAAGGCCACCCAAGAAAAAGCTTTCCAAATTGTCCAATAGTATTAGAGTGCGAAAGCAATACAAATGGTTCCAATTTATTACTTTTGAAGCACACAACTTGCATAAAATTATTATTTGTGGGAAATCTGTTGTTGGCACTGCAGGATTTCATTCGAGTATTTCCACTGGCAGAATTTGCTTGGGTGGTCTTAGTTGGAGTAGCTGCACTGTAACTGGGAGGAGATTGATTCTCCACACCCTTGTGCCAATACACAAGTTATTCTTACTTTTGTCCATGTGCTTGTTCCTTTTTATGAGAGACTATTTTAGATTTAAAGACAGTTCCCTTGCTTAATGGTGTACATATTTGTGCAGTACAGGGAATTGTAGTGTTGATCATAGGACACAAATTTTTTCAACAAAAATAACTTTTACACTGTCTGTAGATGTAAGTCACATGTTATTTGATATTTTTTAATGAAAAATGTAATAAGAAGCATGCATGGCACCACAATGTTATTTCTTTTGAATAAAAAAAAACTGAGGAAATATTTATATTGACTGCCAATAGCAGGGAAACTGTCTGGTTTGATTTTGAGCTGATATACACAGGAATAAAATGTCACACAATTTTAAATTGGATCACATCTTTTTTCTTATGTGAGTGGAGACCGGTAGGAGTAATAGCCACTTTACAAACTGAACAACAACAATAACAAAATATTATCACCCCCTGGGTATTCGGTTGTCTACACATGTACATAATTTTGGACCACTTAAAGCTAATGTTATAGTGATATTCAAAGAATAGTTCTTGTCCCAGTTTATTCAAATAGAAATAATGTTTGGTTGAGCCTTACATAAGATTGCACAGACTGCCCACAGTTGATTGACAACCCCAAACTGATGGAGCGGCACAACTCCATCCCAAATGTGAAAATTCTTGATATTGTTTATGGCACGCTCAACATGAATTCGCAGGCTTGCAATTTCCTGAGTGCGAACAACATCTTGTGCTGGCATTTGATTTGAGCTGCCAAGAAAGGGAGGAATGTTCAAGGAAACTCCTAAAGGTAACAAGTCCTCGATTGTAAATCCTTTGTCTGCCATGACTGAGTCTCCATCTTGCAATGGCAAATCCAACAATCCACTTCTGACAACAATCTCTCTGTCAGAGATGCTGCCAGTATACAGCTGGCTGATGAAGGTTATTGCACCGCCAGGAGAAATGCCAATTAATCCCTTCAGGGTTGTGTGGTGTTTATAATTGCTAAACAGCTCCCCATTTAAATGCAAACTACTGGGCATTTGACACCTCACCTCTGTACAGTCGATAATAACTCTTGTAGAACTATATTTTTGCTTGAAATCTTCAGGCATTGTCTCATTAATTACTTGCCTTGTTGGCCAAATGTTTAGTTGGCCTAGCCTCAAATACATGAAATTTATCCAGCTGATAAAAATCCGACTAACTGTTGAAGTGGATATGTCAAACAGATGACTTAAGTGCTCCTCAGGAATGCCTTGTCTGAGTCTACACATCACAAGGAAATATTCGTCAATAGGCCTCAATGACCTACTTCTGCCTTTCTTGCTTCCATTAGCTGCCACCTCCTCATAAACGCTGGCAGATACATTTTTCCTTGAAGACAACCAGTATGTGATGTTTTCACCCATATCACCAGGATTCAGGTATCTAAAAACAGACATAAATACCTTCCAGTTTGGAAATCCAGTATAAAAATGGATTGACGCATCACTGCTTTGAAATCTTTCAATAGTGAAAACTTGGTTTTGCAAAGATTCAATATGTCGCTTAGCTCTTTCAAGATTGGATTCAAGGTCCACTATTTGTTGTGTCAGCGAGGTCTCAGTGCCTTCCTTTGGTTCTGTGGTTTGAGTCTCCGCATCCATTTTCAAGTTTTCAGACAGGATGCTTTCCACAGTTTTCCTTTCTTCTATGCGATTTTCCCCTTCATCTACGCAGTTTTCTGGCTCGTCATTAGTTCCGGTTTCTTCAAAAAGATTTCGGCTTGTTTCATCGATGCTTTCGCGTACTGCTGGCGCTTTACGTTTCCGGGGAGAGGTGCGAGTCCACGCAAACTTCGAAGGAACAGCATTCCCTCGCAGCTCCGTTCTGCCAGCGAGGGTCTTTACAAAATCATATTCCGGCCTAAAATGTCTCGAACAGACCTTGGTTGCCTTCGTGATCCGAAAATGTTTTCCTTCCTCTCTTCTGATGGCGTGAAGCCACTGTTTATGGCGACCGACATGATCAGGAAACTTGAAGAACGAGACTTTCCTGCCATCCTCCTTGCGACAACCTTTCTTGGTGCACTCAGGAACACAGCAGTGCGTGGGCATTTTTTTAAGCCCGTGGTAATTATCTGAGTAATTTCGATTTCAGATAAACAAAAACACTCGATTACGTTTTCACATTATCACGTTCGACGATACAGCAAAAAACAGGCTACATACGAGAGAGATTTGGAACGCATTTGCATGTGTTTACGTTTTTCATAATTGAACGTGGCCTAACTAGCCTCGCTCTGATGTTAGTAGTTACTATTCCGCCCGAGTGGTCCGCCATTATGAAAGTCGTGTATTATCCTTTTCAAGGGGACTTTCAAGACATCAGAGAAAGCGCAAGTGAAAAAAACTTCTACTACCATCATGACTTAAGTTGTGTGCAAAGGCGCCATCCAAATTTCGAACCTGGGGACATAGCCATCCAAGAATCTGTCAAGGCAAACCTCAAGGATAGCCACAAACGTCTGTTAAGAGACATAATGGATATACAAGTATAATAATTATACTTGTATACCCACTGTCTCTCTTATTAGTAAAGAGGGTAGTAATACTGTTGAGCCTACTTCCCTGTGCATTTTGCTTTTGACATAAGGACAGTTACCTTATATCAAGATTGTCACTCTCATACTTTAAACAAGTGTGAAAACAAGTGTCACAAGTATTGTAACTTAAGAATAGAGGATCTGTTTCAGCCCCAAAGTGCTAATTTAGCCTGGCACGTCATAGTCTGATTTAGCTTCCCGTGCAACAATTTGAGCACAGTTTAAGTCAGTACAACCCTGTCAAATGCCTATATTTCAGCCCACGCTGAGACTCATTTCCATCCCGGCCGTGGGACCAAATCATCCCCAGGTAATTGAACAAATAGAGGCCAACTAGACCCCTTGAAAATGGTACTCGTTCAACTCACCAAAACGTTTCATTTTTAAGGCTGAATCACATCATTTTGATTTACAGTGATAGATTACCTCGTAAGAGTAATGTAGATACATTCAAGTTGTAAGGAGGGATTAGTCAATGATTCAATAAATATGACAAAGACAAGGGAGACGAACATGAACATTTTCACAGTGTAAAAAAAGTACCCTTACTTTGTGCATGCAAATCGATAACCATTATATCTTGTGATCCTTGATGATACGGTCTTAAGTTAACGGTTGAGATTTTTGTATCGTTTGGTTTTTGTTCATGTTGTTGTTAAATATCTGATCAACAGGCTGATGCCTATCGCATTTTTTAAATTTTTGTTGCTATCGTGTTTCAAATAACACACTTACACCTACACACAAGTGTTTTATCTTTGATTGTGACTGTCGCCAGATAGTGATAGAAACTATTTTTACTGCTTATATTGCAACTTTGAAAGTCACATGATCAACCACCCCGATAATTATGCAAAATTTTACATTAACAAACCTAGTTCTAAATTTTCCTTTTAAACTTATTTAGTTTTATTAATGCTAAGCATGTTAGATTCATTGGGAAATTTTAAAACATATTATTGCTTGGTAATGTTTAATACTCGCCCCAGACTCTCTCTCTAACATGAAAACTGAACAGTTTACAGAAAACAATTACTTTCCAAAAGCACCGATCAGTTCCAAAAACCTTTTACTACAGTCATAAATAGAAAACAACTGAAATTACAGTAAGGTACGTGTTGTAGATTTGGATCAAAATGGATAGCAAAAATAGGGGCACGATAGGTCACATGATCAAAAAAATCCATTATTTAACGTGAAACTGATATCTTTTAATAGAAAGGTTCAAGCCTACAAAGATTTAAGTGAAAGGTTTCATCTTCTTTGAACCAGACCAACCCCGTACAAATTAACCCATTAGTATTGAGCCATTCTTTAATTAACTCATGTAGTACTATACTACTCACTGTTTCTTATACAAGATGAAAAAAGAGAAGTAGACATTACACTGTCTTCATTAGTTCTTGCTATTGTTCATTTGAAAGCCAGCAGGAAAAGGCACTTGTCTAAAAGCAATTCATGGTACCAGTTATTAAATGAAGCTATACTGGCATCCTTTTTAGTAAACATTGGTGTCACTGATTTGGCGGGGGTTGCCATACAATGGCAGAGGACGAGGAGTGCGATAACATTCCTTGGCTCACTTAAAAGCAGAGCTGGTGTAACTAAACCGAGTCGAAAGTTTTCCACAATTCAATCACCCTTTAACAACCTTTACTACGGCATAGATTCACCAGAAATATCAAAAACTTGGATAATACCTTAGTGCAGGTAGATTGACAAGATTGCCCTTGAATCAAGATAAATCCAAAGTAAGCTATTGTTTTCATAGCAAGTCTGCAATTAAATGAAATAAGCTTGCCAGTTTTATATCAAAGCGATACAACCTGGCATGATGATTAGACTCGTCCATCCTTTCCCATTGAGTCCCATCGATACAGTTTGTACAAGATGAAATTCGTTTTCACTAACTAAGAGTGAGCAAGGTGAATACTTACCCTAAAAAAACCCACTGAATTGCCATCATTGAAGATACGAAAAATCCCTCAGGTTAATTGAATTTGTGCACTGAAAGATCGTGAAGACAGTGCTTCCTAATAGCAGCCTCGCATTTATACCGCCAT